AGACAATTTAATTACCCAACGTAGATTCTGTGTTCTAGTTGTTTCATAAATGACATGTTTAAGGAAAAGGGCTTCCCATTTACTCATAGTGTTAACTACAGCCATCCCTTAGTATCCATGAGAGATTGGTTCCAAGATCCCCTGTGAATACCAAAATCCATAGATACTCAAGTCCCTTATATAAAATGGTGTATTTGCATATAACCTATGCACATCCTTCTGTATACTTTAAATTATCTCTAGATTACGTATAATACCTAATACAGTGTAAATGCAATATAAATTGTTATATTGTATTATTTAGGAAATAATGACATAATTCTTTACATGTTCAGTACAGATGCAGCCATTCATTTTTTAAAAGTATATCCCATCCCTGATTGGTTGAAATCCCAGATATGGAGCCCATGAATGCTGAAGGCCAACTGCACTTACTTTCCTGTACCTTTTAATTGTTCGTTACATTATCTGGGGTGATCTTCATTGGTACCATCTTAATGCATGACATAATGAGATTAGCTAGCTTTAACAGCACAGAAGGAGGGAAAACTTCCACACTAGAGGCTCCCGGTGAGCTGTGAGATCCACCATTTGAATTCTGCCTACCAAATACAGGAAACAATACTTGTATTGAATGTTTGGTGGCTCAAACTCAAAGAAGAGTTTGGGCCACCAAATAAAAGCCAAACCCACATGGTCCGCCTTCAATCTGCAATTGAAGTAACAAAAAATATAGTGAGGAACACACTGGCATTCTTCAGTAAAAGACTGAAGGAGGATGCCTATCAAAACCTTTAGGTTGGTGAAGTAATCTGAGATCAGAACGGCAATAATATTTACAATTTGCATAGGGGCAGTTCTCATTGCTAAGTGACGATGGCACATTCTGAGCTGCCACTTCTCAACATCATGGGCCTCCATTATTTAGCTAAGGGATAAGGGTGGAAAAAAAGGTACACTTGGACCTAGTTTATAATTTCATTTGGTAGACCCATCCATCCATATAGTTTACAAGAGCAAGCCAGTTCTGACTGCCGTTATCCTCTGGGCCTGAAAGGGTGAAAGAAATCAGTGAAGGACAGAAACAGCTATCCTTGGTGGACATCCAGAAACAAACCAGATCTCAGCTTTCCAAAGAGAATAAGTATGCTGGTGTTGACCATACTGTTAATCTAAAATCTCCCCCAGACAAAGTAATTCTGATGTATCAACAGAAGTTAAATCTCTTTATGATTAGAAAAGTACACATTTTTCTCAATAGCGCCTCATATTACTTTCGGGTTTTAAACTACCATAAATCATCAGGATGACTTGCTTTCCTTCTTTTGACAACCCTATAAGAAATATAAGATGTGCTTAATTTTTCTACTTAACACTTTCATTCACTTTAGTGTGTAATTATAGAGAATTTTTCAGTTTCAACAACTTCTATGTATCAGGTAATCTATATATTGTCAATATAAAGATAATGGAATACGCTAGCCCATGGGAAGGTACCTGGCAGATGAGCTGCAATTCTTCCTTGCACTGACTGCAATGCAGTGAATGAATGACTTCATAAGGCAGGCTACACTCTTACAAGATAAATGGCAGTGATGTTCATTCTAAGTGAGAACACAATTAGACACACTTGTTACTAATAGTGTGAACAGACTATTCTGTTCCAGGATGTCCTTTTAACACATTTGAATTCCTTAGGGGAAAAAATCCCCTTTTGAATGTTTTAATCTTTGATGTGTCTGGGTAACCTTCAACAAGTATATTGACTTAATTTTCTTTTGCATTTATACCATCTTCAAACAATTATCTATCAATGTTTGTGTCTGCTAAATGCTGAACAGAAATTAAAAACCTAGAAAACGGACTCTTAGAAAAACAAGTCAGAGTTCAGAAAATTTTTCCTCTCTTCTTTCAATTTTAGCTGAAACTTGAAATTAGCATCTTTATAAACTGATGAAAGACCCACATTTTAGTGCTACTCTTTGACCTGCCACTGTAGGTGAAGAAGTATATCCTTCACTCAGGCTGTGAGTTATTTTTGAAATGATGTTATTAAGTACTGCTGAAGATGGGGTGTAGCTGGAAAATGCTTAAGTGTTTAATTAATATTCAAAATGTCCAGTCCACTTTATTTGGTAACTGGACAGATTAATGATTTCATGATAGTCAAGTAAAATGAATATATGTATATTATTTCCTTGAAACACTGCTAAACCTCTAAAATATCAACCATAGGTTTATGTATAATTAGTGCTGTGGGAAAGCAAATATCGAAGTTAAACAGTTTAAGCCAATAAAAAAATTCTCTGGAAAGAATAAACAACAAGTAATTGTTTGGGGGCAGGAGAGGAGTGGAAAGAAAGGGCACAGGACTGCTTCCTTAAGTGTTTATAAATTGTTGTTAAGACAGAAACAAAATTATCCCTATGCCCAGATTATGTAATATATTGGGAGCATGCTTCTCTGTTCAGCAATGCTGATAACGACACAAATAGTTTAATTACAACTTGCAGCTCAAGGAGATAAACAAGGCTGTTTGCCTTTTAAACCAAGGGGTTACAATTACTCTTAAATGTAGGGGAAAGGAACATCTGTGAGTGGATCTTACTTTGTTAGGGAAGCAACCAGAAACCAGCTGGAAAATAAAGCCCCAGGAGTGAGCAGTTGGCGCAAAATTAGAGCAAAAATGCTCGATTTGAGCAGTAGAGGAGTAGGCGTGATGCATAGTAAACAGGCAGTAAATATAGGTGGAGAGGGATGGAAAAGTTTTTGGTAGCCAGATCTTCTGCATTTTCTTTGGGGTTCCATCACAGGAGGGAAAGAGTACAAGTCCCTTCACTGCCCACCTTACAGTCACTTCTCTGCCTCACTTCAGCACCACAAAGGGAGAACAGCTCCCCTGGCTGCAGTACAAAGCAGGCTGCTAATGCCCTTCCACCCTTCACAATACCCTCTTCGCATTTCTCTTACTGGTGTCTTTCTTGCCACTTTGCATTAGGAATATTTTAAGGGACATATAGAAGGAGCTGAGTGCTTGTCTGGCTTATTTATTTCCAGAGGAAACAGAGATAAGTCCTGTCTGAGCCAATCTTTTAATTGGACTCCAGAGCAATGTAACCAGAATAAGATTGCAAGTCATCAGGTTTAATCTGGTGACAAAGTGGCTCAATGTAATTGAGTAGTAGCTGAAACCTGAAACTCTTGTTTAGCACTATATTTTATTGTTTTGTTATAAAAGTACTAGTAGAAGGTAAACAACCTTTATGAACTGCTGCTTTGGCTCTGTTCCTCCTGGGCTAAGCCAAAGACACTAAGAGAATACAGCTGAGTCAGCTAGCAAAGGGTCAGCAGAATAATTCCCAATAACACTAGGTTGGGAAAACAATCTTTCTCCTAAAAGAAACTTTAATGACTCCTTTGTAAGACCCGTTACAACCATATGCTCAATCTAAAACATAGAAGTAGGGGATTCACAATTCCACAGTGGACACCATGGACTACTACAGCATGCCACAGAAAATGCCAAAGCTTCCTAAATGAACTTGTCTTCAGCCCCAAAGCCAGAGGCACACATTTGAGAAGGACAAGATACATATGATTAAAACAACAAATCATCAAGACAGGAAAATTATATTCCAAGGCAGTTGGTCACTCTGGCACATTCAGTTACCATCCTTCCAGCCATAAGGGTATGGTTGCTTAGTCAGTGTATCTTGTTTTTCTACAGAGTTTTCTCTTTTGTCCAAACTTCACAACAGAGCATAAAATACCCATCACTTGAAGGTTCTCTTTGCTCCAACACATGGGCATACGCGCGCGCGCACACACACACATACATTTTGTTTGATTTGGTCCCATTTCCAAGAGTTTAGTTTCCTAAAGCCACGCGTATCATCTGCTTTTTAAACTTATTTTTAAAGGTAGTCTTCAGGAAAATGCCCTCACTTTTACCGTAGTTGCTAGAATACCAAGGGACCTTGGAGAGGAAAACAAACTAGGATGGAAGCTTAGGAATCATTCAGAAAAGGCAGAGCTATGAAGTTAGTCGTGAACAACTTCTTCCCAGTGATAGTGACCACCCACGAGTAAGGCACTCTAGAGGCCAGTTGGGAGCAGCTGCAGCAGAGGGGAACAGTGGATTGTGGGCTTTTCTCATTGAGCAACCCTGAGTGGACTCAACCAAGGCATTTTCTGACTCTGAATCCCTCAGTCCTTCTTCTGTTGCTTTCCTTCTCCACTCTCCCCTCCCTTCCTTCCCTCTTTCCCCCTCCTTTCTTTTCTTCCTTCCTTCATTTCTTCCCTCGTACCCCACCCCTTCCCTCCCTGTTTCATTCCTTTTCTCCCTATCTTCCTTCCTTCCCACCCTCCTGTACCTCAGCTACCTTTTTCACTTAATTCGATCTGGGCCACTTTGGGCACCAGTTCCAGGGACAGCATCAAGTCACCTAACTACATCCCCCAGACCATGCTATTCGGACCAGCATGGTAGCTTCCCAGCTGCTGGCTGCGAGGAAAAGGTTCCGTTCCCGGCGGTCAGCCCCGCCCCCTCTCTCCACTCCAACACCGCAGCGGCGGCGTCTACCCGTCAAAGCCAACAGAGTCTGAATGTCACCAACAAGTTCCACCCCGTAGTAGCCGCGCCAGCCAACCTCGCCCGGGGAGCCTCGCCAGACCCCGCTGGCGCAGCCTGCGCACGGGCGCGCGCCTGGGCTCCGGGTTCTTCCCGGGGTCACTGTGGTCACTGACAGCACTTCCTCCTCCCCGTGCCGGGGAAGCCCGCGTGGGACTCGGGCGGATGCGGAGCCGCACGCGCCGCCCTCCCCCACTCCGCAGCTAGCACACACGCCCTCTGCGCACCGGAGACACAAAGAGCGCGACTGCGGAGCGCCCGGCTGCGGGGGGCGGCGGGGAGGGCCGGGGAGGGGGCCGCGGAGGGGCGGGGGCGCAGCAGCCGGGGAGGGAGGAGCAGGGCGGGGGTGCGGCGCCAGGGGCGTCCTTACCTGCCCCCAGGTTAAAGGAGATCCTGGCCTCTGCGAGGTACGGCGTGTCGCTCTTGGAGCGCACTCTCCGGATGGGCCGCCGGTCTATATCATCCTCCGAGGATGCCGCCATTAATGTGGGAGGCAGGAGCAGGGTCGCCCGGCGAGCTGAGAGGGAGAAGGAGACGGAGGAAGAGGGAGAGAGGCGGAAGGGGGAGGAGGGGAGAGGAAGAGGCTCGCACACGGGGGAGGGGGAGGGGAAAGGGGAGGGGAGAGGAAGGGAAGGGGTGAGGAGGGAGGGGGAAAGAGAGGGAAAAAGGAAAAAGAAGAGGAAGGAAGAAAGAAAGAGAGCAAAGGAGAGAAAGGGGTGAAGGGAGAGAAAGAAAATCCGTTAAGGATCTGTGGACTGGAGCAGAAAACAGGCTATCCCTGGCTGGCTCTCCGGGCTCCCCCTGACTCCTCTCCCAGCCACAGGGCCGAGGGGCCAGTGCTCCCGGCTGACACCCCGCCTCCCTCCTGCAGCCCCAGTTTCCAGCCCTTGGCACAGATAGGCTCATGCGAAAGGGACGACTCCAATGCAGAGATGCCCAGTCAGCACTGTGCCCTCTCCCGCCAAACGCGCTTACTCTGCCCAAGTGCACACTACAGTTTCCTTCGCCCACAGGCTGCTCTATGTTAGCGTGCCGGGCCAGCGCTCCCAGCTCCCTGCGTGGAGTTACCATTCCTGGGGTGCAAGCCCTGGTCCCGCTGGTCATGGGGGAGGGCATTGTGCCCAGCCCAGCCCTCTACTCCCTTGCTCCCAGCCTAGAGCTCAAATAGAGATAGAAGCACATCTGAAATCCTTAGAAGTTTTCTCATCTGCCCCCTTACAACTTACAGGTGGGGAGTAGAGAAAAAAAAGGGCTACAAGTTTGGGAGTAGTTTTGTATTAAGGTTTCTAGAGTTGGTATTTTGAATGTAGCCTAAGCATATGCATGCGGAATTGAGTGGCCTTTTCTAACTACTAACTTCTGGGATGTGTCTATATAAATATCCATTCATTTTAACTGAATTTCTCTTTATTTGGTCACTTAGAACACAAATAATAGTGTTTGGATTGGACTTGCAGTCTCTACAACCTGGCGTCATTGTTTCTGCAGGAGAGGTGATCGAGGGGACTTTACATTTCTTTGAACGTCTGCACTGCCACCTGCAACCCTCCCTGTAACACAGCAGAAGAACCAGAAAGGTTTCTAGGGTGTGAATCAGAATTGTTTGATGCTCCTGCTGAACCTATTGATGGGATAAACCCTTTAATGCTTGTCTTTCTGCAGCTGTAGGCACTTAGTCTTTTTGTGGCCGGAGCTGCCACTCTTCTATCTAATAAGTGCTCACCTGGAGCACATGGATAAATCTTGCCTTGGTTCCCTCCCTGCTACAAAAGGCATCTCAGTGTGGACTCAGGAGAAGTGCTGTTCTGACTGTGCAAGCCCTCCCTCTCCACTTCAGCTGTCAGTTCTAACTCTCCCCTTGTCTTTTCTCATTCTAGAATCGTCTTCTTTTTTCATTGGTCTTTGTTTTACCTTCACACATGTATAGTAGCTACTCATTTTAGGAAAAATACGCCTGCCTTTGGCCTTGCTGCTCCCTCTATCTGTACCATACTGTTTCCTTCCCATTCTGTTTAACCTTCCCGTGGAACTCCTGGCCATCAGTCTCTGTTTTTACACTCCAATCATGTCCTTTTATCCCCATCACTGGTTTCTATCCTCACCACTCAACCAAGGTTATTTTAAAAGCCTCCATCAATATCCTTCAAATAGTCAAAGCTAATTGTTCCTTGGCTTCTCTGAAATACTTAGTAACCCGTCGTTCTTGAAATAATCCCATCCTTTGCTAGGTTATCTCCCTAATCTCCTGATTTCTAATTGTCAATCAGTCCTCTGCGTTAATCTGAACCTGCTTATTCTGGAATTCAGGGCCCTTCACAACCTTTCTTTCCCATCCTCATCTCCCATTATTTACCTCCAGTTGGCTTGGAGTCATCCCAACAAATCTGGCTCACTTTTGCATCTGCACCTTTACTTAAGTGGCGCACCACAAATTTCTTATCTATAAACATTTCCTGTTCTCCGTCAGAAATGTGAAGTGACTAAGCTCATTAGTTTATGGCATGAACCCAGCATATAGTAAATGTTCAGCAGGATTTTTATTTGTTTGTTTTGAGACAAGGTCTCTCTCTATCACCTAGGCTGAAGTGCATTGGCATGACCTTTACTCACTGCAGCCCTGACCTCCTGGGCTCAAGCAGTCCTCCCACCCAAGCCTCCTGAGTAACTAGGATTACAGGCATGCACCACCAAGCCCAACGTTTTTTGTTTGGTTGGTTGTTTTTTGTTTGTTTGTTTGTTTGTTTGTTTGTTTGTTTTTGAGAGATGAGGTCTCAATATGTTGCTCTGGCTGATCTCAAATTCTTGACCTCAAAGGATCCTCCTTCTCGGGTCTCTTGAAGTGCTGGGAATACAAGCATTAGCCAACATACCTGGCCAACAGATATTTCTGAATAAAGAAAGGGGGGGGGGGCGGAGAGAAGGAAAAAAAGAAAAGAAGTGAAGGAGGATTGTGAGTACTCATAACTAATGAGTGACTGCACTGCGGACCAAATCCATATCTGCCTGATTTCAAATCCTATGCCTTAACTTGTGAATGGATTTGCTAAGTATATATATATTTGGTTGATTAGCCACCTTTCAGATTCACTTTTCTATGACTTATGCCTCATTGTTATGTCCCATTTATTACTGTTAAACATGGTTTTAAAGTGAAGGCCTCCTCTTCCAAGAGGTGCAACAGAGTCCTATGGCTCATCAAATTGATTATGAAAGTTAATACTTTTAAAGGACAAATAGGCTATAAACCAATATATTGGTTACAACATTTAGGTTCACGTTCTTAAGGAAGTGTAGAATATAAGGAAATAAACAATTCTAAATACTGTATAAATGGTGCCTTCTGTGAATTAGTGCAGTCTATTTGATTGTTTAGAATTTGAGATTCCCCATTCCTTTGTATTCTCATTCATCAGCTTTGTTTCTGGAAAAATGATAAAGTCATCTGGAAGAATAACTGCACTTAGCTCTCGCAATTCAGAGACATACATCCTAAATTTCTGTTTATCATTCATTTAACATTTCAGAGGTTTAGGAACTTAATAATGCTACCGCTTTAGGTTTATCCTTCTTTAAAGGAGTTTAAATGCACTTTCATATTATTTCATTACAGGCTATTTTATTATTGAAATAATTCTTTTTGAGACAGGCTCTCACTTTGTCACCTAGGCTGGTGGATGCAATCTCAGTTCACTGTAACCTCCACGTCCCAGGCTCAAACAATCCTTCCACCTTAACCTCCTAAGTAGCTGGGACCACAGGTACATACCATAACCAAGCCTTTGTGAGTTTTGTATTTTTTGTAGAGATGGAGTTTTGCCACATTGACCTGGCTGGTCTCAAACTCCTGGTTTCAAGCAACCCGCCCACTTCAGCCTCCCAAAGTGTTGCATTACAGTCCTGAGCCATTGTGCCCAGCCTTGAATTCTTTTATCACATTTTTATTTCTAATTGTTATCTTCCATTTTCTTGATATGTGTGATTTGCTTATTGTCCTTCATCTGTTTTTTTCTGTTCTCTTTTTACTTTGCCTCTCTTTTCTCACAACCTTCCTTAGTCTTTGTAACAGTTCCACACAGAATCAGTCCCTTTATATGCATCCCCTTTTATCCTATACAAAGGACTCAGTTTTATGGGCTTGTCCCAATATTTCCACATTCTTTAATCTCTGGGACTCCTTTCATATTCATGACCCCTTATCATAAAACCTCTGGCTGCATGACATCAGCAGAAGAGCCTTGGGGGTAGGCATCGGGATGGTGGGTGCTGCTCCCAGTAGTACTACTACCTCACCCAAGTGACACTGGGCAAGTCGCTCTACCATCATTCACCTCCACTGTAAAAATGCAAGTGTCAGATATGATCTTAAAGTCTCTGCATAAGTCTAATACTCTAGTGTTATTTTTAGCTATTCTTGTATCTCTGCTTTCCATAAATATCCGTGGTATGTTTTGTCTCTTAAATCTAAGAAAATACATTGGTCCTTTGATTTGTAATGAATTATATTTAGAAAACTACATGATATCCATACTTCTACCAGGTAATTTCCTATTTTTAAGTCTATTTTATATAACTCTGCATCCTTTAGAATATATTTTCCCCCTCATGCTGTTTCTATCATGTGATAACACCCACATGATTGTTTATATGTGTGTCTGTGTGGATGCAGGTGTCTGTACAAAAGGATTGAATTCAACTATGACTTCAATGACTTCCAAATGTATTTTTTATGCCCCCCACTGCCGCATCACCTATAATTGCTTCTTTCTAAATATGACTCCTGACATGGGAAGAAGGCAGTTTCTCTTTTTCTTTTCCTAAAGCCAGTCAACATTTTAACACTGTAGACTCTTAAATGTACGTTATATCCAGAAGTATAGCCAAAGAAAAAGAAGTAGCTCAATAGAGTGCTCAGGAAAATTATCCTTCATACATCCATCTGCTACAGAAGAGGATGGAGGTGAGAACGGGAGGAATAAATAAGGATGTGATATTCCATCCCCGTTAAGAAAATTTTTCAAGTGAGTAAAGCTTACCCTTTAAAAATTTTACTCAAAGTGTGTTTCTAGGACACCCCTATATCAGAATCACTTGGAATACTTGTTAAAATATCTATTTTGCAGGTCCACAATCTGAACTTACTGAATCAGAATTGAGGGGATAGGACCTGTGTACCTGGATTTTCAAAAGACTCTCGACTCTAGCCACACTCACCTCTTCCATTTAATATTATACTGGAGGTCCTGGCCAGGGAAGTAAGACAAGAAAAAATTTTTAAAGGTATGATTGGAAAGCAAGAATAAAATTGCTATTAGTGGTATATGTTATGATTATATAGCTATGGAATTCATAAGAATCCACAGACTATTAGAAATAAGTAATTTTCTCAGTGTCACTGGATATAATATCAGTACAAAACATCTTTTTTTTTCCTTGCTGCTCTGCCTATGGGGTAGATATTGATTATTCCTTTGCTTTCTTAATAAACTTGCTTTTACTTTGCCTTATGAATTTGCCTTA